GAGGCGATACTCGTTCGACACTGGTTCGATACTGTTCTAGGTGCTCGAACTTATGTTTGGGATGTGGTCCTCAAGTACGATGGGAACAGCAGACACCCTGAGCCAGTCCCTCCTTGACGCTCCCCCTGAAGGCGACGACTCTGTACGAGCTTGCCCTGGACCTGGAGCTGAAGAAGGCTCACCGCAGCCCAGGCACGCAGCTCCTTGGCGCCCTGGCGCTCTCGCTGCTGTACGTGTTCATGTGCGTGACCACCATCTGGGAGCAGATGCCGGCTCCGCTGTTCGCTTGGGCCATCACTTTCTGCGTCAAGGCAGGGCGCTTCCCAATCCGCTCGATGTGACTTTGCTTCTGCCGCCTCCTCCTCCTCTCCCGCGCCCCGTCGGAGGTCATGTGCCGCGTGCTGCATGCTGCGATGCTTGTCTAGCTGCCCACACGCGCGGGGGCAGAGGATGGTGGAGGCGCCTTCCGAGCACTTCGAAGCCCGCCTCGGGCCGACTGCTCGCCGCCACCCGCGCTCTGACTGAAGCACGGTCCGGCCGACCTGCCGAGATACAGCTCGTCGTTTACCGTGCGTCGTGACACCGGCGCCCCTGCTGCCCGCGAGGCCGGGCCCCGAGGGCTCACAGTGACTCCTTGCAGCCAGGAGCGTTCTACATGCACACTGTTCATTTCTAATTCTTCGAAGGTTCTTTGGTTTTCTGGGGGGCCAAGATCCTCTCGTTTCTAATTCTTCGGTCCTGGGCCTCTTCCTGGCCACTAGGGGGCCAGGAACAATTAGAAACGAGCATAATTAGAAATGAGCACGATTAGAAATGAACGACGTGTACAGTGGAGACCCATGCCAAGAAACGCCCTGCTTGCCTACAGGGTGGCCTAGGTTTCTTGGGCGTCGGTGTTTTTGCTGTGGAAAGCGTGACGTTCCCGCACCAAAAATCAGTGGACGTCCTGGGGTCTCAGGGTTGGGCTTCTTGTGGGAGGTTTCTTGTGGACCAGCCTCCACTGTAGAGGCTATGTGTTTGTGCTGCCCGAGAGACGCCTGTTATGTCACTGCTCCGCCGCTTGGCGGATCGCCTTTTACATTAAACGTCAAAGTCGGAAAATCTGATCGATCTGATCTGATGGCGATTCCGGCCGGCCCGGTCCGCCTCTCGGCGGTTCAAAGATGGGGCCTTGAGGGATGGGGCCTTGAGGATAGGAACGGGGTCCCAAGCTGAGACTTCATCGTTTGAGGCCCCTCGTCCTTAGGGCCCCATCTCTCAGGGTTCCAGCCCTGAAACGCCGAGGCCCCACTCCGATATGACGGGAAGCGCCTTCTCGGAACGAGAAGGTGATGGGAGTTGTTTTAGCATTACTGAATAAGGTATAAATAACGACCTAAGACGCGAGGGACAATTGGCTGCCGGGTGTAAAGATTCATCGCTTGGCGGATCCCCCTCAAATTGGCCGTTTCGCCTGAGACATCCTCGAAACATTGAAGCCGTGTGGTGAAGACGTCTTTCGTTAAAAATTAGACTCTCGCTAGAGACATCCTCGGAAAACGGCATTCGCGGCATCTTAGCTCGAGGTCTTGTCTCCTCCGTCTCTTCCGTCTCTGAGGTTTCCTCTGTCTCTGAGGTCTCCGTCTCCCCCGTCTCTGAGGCCTTATCCGTCTCTGAGGTCTCCTCTGTCTCTCCTCCGTCTCCTCCGTCATCCTCCTCCTTCTCCTCTTACCCCTCCTCCTCCTCCTCCTCCTCCTCCTCCTCCTCCTCCTCCTCCTCCTCCTCCTCCTCCTCCTCCTCCTCATTCTCTTCCTCCTTCATCACGCACGCACGCCGTACATCCCCCCGCCCGTCACCCCCATAACACATCCAGCACGCACGCTGTACATCCCCCCTCCCGTCGCTCCCATAGCACAACCCTGCACACGCGCGCACACACGCACACAGCCGCTCACACAGGCACATACACAGGCACGCGCACATACTCGCACGCTCGCACCAGAGTAACCACAGCAACCAAAGGCAATCACAAAGCTCGGAGAAGCAACCAATAATCCCGCTCTCCGCGCGTGCTCAACCAGACGTTATCTGACAAGCCTTGTGGACAAAGCGGCGCTTCCCGTTCTTGTCTGGTCAGGTTGTAGATGCTTCCCGTGGTCCCAGCAGCCCATCCAGAAACCATGCCCAGACGAGTTGCCTTGATCAGGGATGTGGAGTAGAACGCATTGGAATACAGGGTTGGGTAAGACGTCGTACCACAAGAGTGGGAGGTTGAAGGAGGAATCGGAGGAGGAGCAAGAGTAGGAGGAGGAGGAGGAGGAGGAGGAGGAGGGAGAGGGGGAGGGGAATGAAGGACGAGGAAGGAGGAGGAACAGACGGATGAGGAGAAGAAGGACGAGGAGGAGGAGGAGGAGGAGGAGGAGGAGGAGGAGGAGAGCGAGCAGAAAGGCCAGAGGCCTCTTGGATGCCTGTTCGGATTTCTTACGAGAATTGTTTGGAGTCCTCTTGGGACATCTTGGGGGTCTCTTGGCAGTCCCAGAGGTCCCCTCGGGCGTCTTGGGTGTATCTGGGGACGCTCTTGGAGCCTCTTGGGGGTCAGTTGGGAGCCTCTTGGGGGCATATTAGGGGCATCGTAGGCACCTCTTGGGGTCCCCCCAGGAGGCCAAAATGTAGCCAAAACCTTAAATACAAATTATGTTGGCTTCCTCGCCGAGGCCGTTCTAGGCGCTCTGACACCTAGCGACCCCCGCCCCCCATCCAGGTCCGGGGGCAGGGTGGAGGGAGTGGGGGGAAAGGGGGAGGAGGAGGAGAAGGAGGAGGAGGAGGTTGGAAGAGGAAACGCTCTATAGGCCACTCTCGCCCGAAAGGCCCGGTGGGACTCCGGCGACCCGGTGCGGCCCGGTGACTGCTTGACGCGGCCCGATCCGACGAAATCTCGGTTCCGTGCCGATGCAGCCCGTGCCGACGCACAGTTCGGTTCGATGCGATTTACCTCAGGAGGGAAGACAAAAAAAAACGAATCGTCGATTCCCCAAAAGGTATGGGAACACATGGGAAGTGGGGGAAGGCGAAAGCCCATAGAAAAGCTGAAAAAGATGGGGAGTCTTGGTGTGTGTGTGTCTGTGTGTGTGTCTGTGTGTGTGGTGTGTGTGTGTGTGGTGTGTTGGGTGTGTTGTGTGTTGTGTGTTGTGTTGGGTGTGCTGTGTGTGTTGTGTGTTGTGTGTGTGTTGGGTGTGCTGTGTGTGTTGTGTCTGTGTCTCTCTGTCTCTCTGTCTCTCTGTCTCTCTGTCTCTCTGTCTCAGAGTCTCAGAGTCTCTCTGTCTCTCTGTCTCTCTGTCTCTCTGTCTCGCTGTCTCTCTGTCTCTCTGTCTCTCTGTCTCTCTGTCTCTCTGTCTCTCTGTCTCTCTGTCTCTCTGTCTGTCTGTCTCTCTGTCTCTCTGTCTCTGTGTCTCTGTGTCTCTGTGTCGCTGTGTCGCTGTGTCGCTGTGTCGCTGTGCCGCTGTGTCGCTGTGTCGCTGTGTCGCTGTGTCACTGTGTCGCTGTGCCGCTGTGCCGCTGTTTCGCTGTGTCGCTGTGTCGCTGTGTCGTTGTGTCTCTGTGTCTCTGTGTCTCTGTGTCTCTGTGTCTCTGTGTCTCTGTGTCCCTGTGTCTCTGTGTCTGTCTGCCTGTGTGTCTGCGTGTCCCTGTGCTTCTGTGTCTGTTTGTTTGTGTCTGTGTGCCTGTGTGCCTGTGTGCCTGTGTGCTTGTGTTCCTGTGTGCCTGTGTGCCTGTGTGCCTGTGTGCCTGTGTGCCTGTGTGTCTGTATGCTTGTGTGCCTGTGTGCCTGTGTGCCTGTGTGTCTGTGTGCCTGTGTGCCTGTGTGTGTGTGTGTGTCTGTGTGTCTGTGTGTCTGTGTGACTGGGTGCGTGCGTGCGTGCGTGCGGTGTGTGTGTGTGAGTGTGTGTGTGTCTTTGTTAATGTGTCTTTGTTTGTGTGTCACTGGGCCCGTTGATTACCGGCATTCGATGCTGAGCAATCCTGCATTGAGGCCGTGTGGCGCCTCAGCGGCATGAAGCAGGCAGGTCTGGTCAACATCGTGTTCCTCCTGCTGCTGCCGGTGGTCCTCTTCTTCTCCGGATCCCTGATCGAGAATTTCGGTTTCAGTTCATTGCTGTTGTCCATGATCATCTTCACGCACATTATGCACACCGTCAAGGTCTTCTGGTGGTTCGTGGCGCGCCTGGTGCTGCCGAAAGGCTCCCCGCTCGGCTACGACCGCGTCGTGCACCTCCTCTACGATTTCGGCCTCGGCTACCAGCTCCAGGTCTACGCCGCCATCGTCGTGCTGGCCATGCAGGCACTCTGCGAGCTGCTGCTGTGGTTGCTCGACCTGCCGTACCTGCGCCTGCGCACCTGGGCGCTGCTGAACCGCCGCGTCTCCGAGGGCTGCGTCGCCAGGATGTACGGCAGCGCCCCTGCAGAAGCTGCGCCCATTGCCATCTGATCGAGCAGTGCGGCGTGAGCCCAACCTCGCACGCACAGTACAGCTATCCCTCGCAAGGCCGAGGGGTAAGAATTCGGCCACAGGCCGCTCCTGCGCTGGCGCGGCGTGTCTCTGCCGCCGCGCAGCGCGCGAGCACCTCCGCGCCGTCGATAGAGAGCTCTGTGGGGATGCTTCGGAGGCTCGTTCTTGGAGGCGCGTACGATGATTCGCTGCGCCGTCCGTGCATTCGCCAGACGGCTGCCCAACAGCGGGTCAAGGTCCCCGCTGCTGGTCAGCCTGCCGAAAGTGAGAAGAATGCCCAACAGCGGGGTCGAGGTCCATCGGGCGTCCGCTATGGTGCCCGATTGGCGACGAACCTAAGGCTGTGAGGAGCAGGGGCGGATGCTCCATCCGGGGCTGCGAGCACACGACTTGCTGCCCCATGCGTTGCGCCGCCGTGCCAGGCGTGGCTGCATCCGAAGACGTCTGGGAGCAAAGAAGAGGACCAGACGGGGCCAGCCCGGGGTTCCTTCGCTTCCTCCTCTCCCCCCCCCCTCGC